ACCTAAGGCTGCAGAGGGGTAAAAGCAACCCTCGTGATTCACTCTTGATCGAATTCTGCTCGCCAGACCCAGAGGTCACTGGCAGGCCTTAAAATCCAAACTGTAGAGAAATAAACCACTTATCTGCTTGTATGTCCCCTCTGCCACCCGGCCTTGGTCCCCAGGAGCACTGAGGTTGGCAGGTGGTAAAGAATGTGAGGATTTCGTGAACTGACCACTGGTTTATTCTCTCACTTCAAGTCATTTGTTTATTTTTCCTGGAATTTACTGCCCCCTGCCTCTCCCCTGGCCAGAACCCCTTTAGTTTCAACTTAAACATTGTCTGAAGGAAACCTCCCCTGGCCAACTTTGTCTCAAGTCTGGGTTAAGAAATGCTCATGGGTGACCGGCCGAGTGGCATGTTGGTTAAGAGCTGGCTTGGGATGCCAGAGGGCCCCGATTCAGATCTCACATATGAGGGTCAGTGACACTGCCCTCTACAGCTAAGATGCTGAACCAACAGCTCAACCTGGAGCTGGGCTGCCGTGAGTTGCCGTCGATGGCGTAGGCTGCAGCCCCTGTGGCAGTGGGTTGCCATGGGCTACCGTGTGTAGCCGGCAGCCAGTGTGAGCGGCCAGCAGCCGCAGTGAGTGGATGTCCAGAAGCCGGTGACTGATCTGCCTCACCCAGGAAGAGCACAATGATTGGGCCAGTGAAGCAATGTCCTCCACAACTAGACTGAAGAACAAAACAACAGCAACTTGTCTGTTCTCCTTCCCCCAATTCCCCAGCGCTATTCCCATCCCCCAATTCCCCAATAAATTTAAAAAAAAAAAAAAAAGAATGCTCATGGAGCCCTGAGCTCTTCTAAGGTCTGTAGGGATGGAGAACGAATGACTGGCTCCCCACGGCCTCCCCAGCACCTGCATAGGGTCTGACAACAGTAGCTACTCAAAAAATATTAACTGAATGCATACATAAGAGAGTAGGAGCTCACTGAATATCTGGCGAGGGGAAGGCATGGGTCATCGAGGGAGAGGTAAAGTATAGAAAGTGAATGTGACAAACATAGAGTGTCCCTTTTCCATTTGTTTCCAAAAGACCATGCCACTGTTAAAAAGGGGGGAAATGCTGAAGCAATGTTTAACTCCAAGTGTCTAGCCTTGGGCAGCTTGCTTCATCTAAACCTCAATGTCTCCATAATTAAATGATGCAAATAGAACATACCCCTGCACTTTAGAACTCCGTATATCCGCTGATTTGTGTTAATTCACAAAAGGGGATCAGTGGCGTGCTGGTGGAGGAAAGGATACCTCTTCTTTGCAACTTCCTTCCTCAAGAAGCCTGCTTCTAATCTTATGGCCCATTACTAAGCCACTTGCAGTCAAGACCCAGGGGACTTTTTTTAAAAGAACACACGGGACATGAAGTAGTAGAGGCTAAAAACTAGAGAGTTATGGAAAATGTTTCAATACATGCATAAAGAATTGAGGGTAAGAACAATGTACGGAGGACAGTGGGACATTCGCAGGTTAGCAGGTAAAGGTTTCAGTATTTTCCTAATATAGTTGGAATTTGGCCCCAATTCACTAAAACATCTGCTTCTGTGCCCCCACCACCCACCCAACACATGTAAACATAGCACTCTGTGTCTCTACTATACACATCAACCCCATTGTGTTGTGTTCTGATGTTGTTAGTAGCCGAGGCCTACAAAGCTACAAGCCACTGGCAAGCAACACCGTCTATCTCTTTATGGGATGGTGACCTTGGAGCTAATCATCTGATAAACAAGGTGGACTCTGAAGCAGGGAATGAAAGCTGGCCATCCCGGGAGAAGTCTGCCCTCCCTCTGCAGACCTCTCTTTTTCCTTGAGGAGCAAGGATGCCTTGTTGGTGGTGCTCGGGGGCTAAGAAAGCTTCCATCACATGGAGTACACATTGTAAGAACTACTCTTCAGAATGGAAAGGTTATGACCTTGATCTGTACGTGTTAACAAATACATGTCTCAAAACATTGCATTCAAAATATATATATATATATAGCAGTTCTTACTGAACAGTTATTATGGAACTATTCTGAGGGTTTCACATGTATTCTTACGTCATTTAATCCTCTGAACTACCCTTTGAAGCAGACACTATTATTATTCCCATTTTACAGATAAGAAGCTAAAACACAGAGAAATCAAACAACCCTCCCAAAGCCACAGTCCGTGCCCTTGACCGCTCTATTGAACTGACTCCAAGAGGTTTCCAAACAATGTGCATAACATGGTACCTGTCAATATCAATACAGCTTTTTAAAGGACTAGAAGGAAATCTATTAGACTTATAATAATGTTGCATTGGCCAGGAAGTTTGTAGGATGACAGGGTTGAAGGGAGATCAGAAAGGACTACAGCTGTATCTTTAATGTTCCAATTTTTTTAAAGAAACAATATGCTAATTTGTAATGTTGGAAACTATAGTCATACATGAAAAAAATGAAAGTGAATATGTCAAAATGTTGACAGTGGTTGATTGCTGATGGTGGAATTATGGGTAGTTATTTTTCTTGTACTTTGACGCATTTTTCCATTTGAAAAAAAGAAAGAAGACCTGGTTACAGGTTCCCCTCCTCCTGGAGAATGGGAGGATGTGGCCAGAATATTTGCATTCTTTTACAAACTGCAGAGGTGCTTCAGATGTGCACGGACAGCTATACGTGGCAGAGGCGTGGGGTGTCAGAGGGAGCTCGTGGGCTTTGGAATCTGAGATCCAGAACTCAACCCCATCTCCACCCACCACGCGTTAGCTGTGTGGTTTGCCCTCAGAAGGTCAGTTCTCTTGTTCATAAAATGGAGTAATGCCTTCTTCACCAAGTTGAATGAGAAGCAAATGAAGCATGAGATGTTTTTCCTTGCCTTGGCACTTTGAATGATTGTAACTTGACTCTGCATTTTGCCAGCCTGGTCATAAGGATAGAAGGTATGCTGGCCTGTACAATGTCTAAGAAAACTTCTGAAATAAGTCTGGAAAAAATAAAATCGATACACACTCACAGCAACCCTTTCTCCAGTCATCCAGTACAGTAACCTCTGTTTCCTCCTCTGTAAATGCATATAGTAACACCACTTATTGACCAGGGCAATTGAGATTTTGAATAATGTTTTAAAAGGTTACCCCAAATGGTGAGCACACAATGCAATATACAGAAGATGAATTATAGAATTTTACACTTGAAACTTATATAATGTTACCAACCAATGTCCCCTCAGTCAATTTAACTTTTAAAAAGTTCACCCAGAGTATACTCACACACACACACACACACACACACACACACACACACACACACACACACTCCTAGGAGACATTTCATCCAGTCTGAGTAATTTAGTTACTTGTGGTTTATTTATTAAGTTGAAAACACTCCATTAATTCACTATTAATATTATTTACTTTATTAACTCTGAGTAAGGCCTGACCTCTCAGGGGGGAAATGCTGATTAACTGGATAATACAAAGGCTAAAATGTTACAGAGGAGCATTTTACAGAAATATTATTTCTCATGAACAGCTTGTCATTCAGAAAGCACTGTTTCTCGTCTCCACGCACTGCTTGCTCTCACTCAAGCAGACCTTTTCCCACCCCCAGCTCCTTTGTGGATAGCCAAGTTTAAGTTTTCTTAATAGACTTTATTTTTTTAGATCAATTTTAGACTTACAGAAAAATTGAGAGTATAGTACAGAGAATTCCCATATACTCTGCTTCCAGCTTTGCCTATTATTAACATCTTCTATTGATGGTGAAACATCAATAAACCAATATAGTTGCAATATCATAAACTAAAGACTATACTATATTTGAATTTCTTCTATTTCTAAAGTCTTTTTTCTGTTCTAGGATCCCATTCAAGATACCATGTTACACTTAGTCACCATGTCCCTTAGGGCTCCTCTTGGCTATGGCAATTTCTTAGATATTCCTTGTTTTTGATGACCTAGACCATTTTAAGGTGTACAGGTCAGTTACTTTGTACCATGTCCCTTAATTGAGATTTGTCAGATGTTTTTCTCATGGTTACACTGGGGTTACGGAGTTTGGAGAGGAATTGCACAGTGGTAAATTGTCATTCCTCTCACATCATCTCAAAGGTACATACTGTCGACATGACTTATCACCGCTGATGTTGACCTTGATCATGTGGCTGAGCTACTGTTTGTTGAGTTCTCCACTGAAAAGTTATTCTTTCCTCCTGTTTTCATACTGTTTTCTTTGGAAGAAAATCACTCTGTGCTGCCCACACTCAAGTGGGGAGTTTCCCTCTCCTTCTTTGAGTCCAGAGTATCTACTTAAATTATGTGGAATTCTTCTGCGAGGCAGATTTGTCTCTTCTTCACTTAGTTATGTATTCAGTCATCAGAGTGAATTTTATTAAAGAACTCGAGGTAAAAAAATGAATTGGCTCCAAAATATTCCTTCTTAAAATCCAGGGCAAAAGAATAAAAGAAAAGTCTTTCTTTTGCTTATATTTAAATTTAATTTCATTCTTAATTGAACACTTTAATATATAAAAATGTGGGTCCATAGAGGATATAAGGTGACTGAGCCAAAGTTTCCTGCCTGAGGAAACTATCCAGGGACAGACAGAAATATATATACACTTAGAGCAAGAAAGTTCTGCCGTTAAAAGTAACAAGTGCTAAAAAAGAAAAGAAAAAGAAAAAGAAAAGTAACAAGTGCTTTGGGAAACTGAGAAGGTAGTCATTAATTCAAGGGAAGTTTGAGAAAAGAACTCCGAGGCCTGGGCTGGCTTCCCCGATGTGCAACCAGTAATTTTGAATGATTCCGATTATAAAGCTGAAGCTCAGAGAAAATGAAAGACAATTAAAGTCACGCGGTTGGTTAATGTAAGAGCCTAAGCTGAAAATCACGTCTTCTGATTCCAGATCCTGTGTTCACGGCATCCAACTAGAAAATGACACAGAAGTCAACGATGCCACTACCCATGGGCGGAAATAAATAAATCTCTTACCTCAAATAAGCGCAAGACTTTGGCCAGAGCACCAACTTCTTCTTTGAGGGAGAAGATCAGTGAGATGGCACCATTTTTACCAGAGTTGTCTTCAATGTAGCTTGTTTCCTACAGGATTAAATGCACTTGGTTAAAATGTTTTCTACAGTTTGCAGTTCATTCCTGTGAAATGGGCAAGGCAGAGGCCATCATGAACTTCCTTCTAGTTAAGCCTTGGAATACAAAGAGCTACATATATTCTATGCGGAAGTAGATAGTGTGGCAGAAATAAGTTAAGTCGAGAGCAGCCATATTTTCAATGATGGTTTTAGGTCGGATTTCAACTTTAGGAAGCTTCAATTATTCACTGATGTCACCAGTCACCCTATAGTCAATACTTTTAATGAGCACCTACCAAGTGCCAGTTAATAGGGCTAAGAGAGATACAAAGATGAATATGACAATGCCTCATCCTCCAGGAGCTCAAATTTTGGCTTAATAGACACACGGTAAACCAAATAACTAAAAAATAAATTTAAAAATCCTTAAAAGTGGTTCAAAAAGCACCCCAAGAAAACATTGAACAATATATGATGGAAAGTCATAAAAAGAGAACCCATGCAGGCTTTTGAGTCTAAAGACCTGAGTTGGGATCCTCTCTTTCATTTCAAAGCTGGACCACTTTGAGCAAATCATTTAGCCTTCTTAGAGTCCTCACATACTAATTATAAGCCCTGTCTAAATTGTATTCAGATGAGAAAAAGAAGAAGATAAAATTGTTTACATAGAATACTAAGAGAAGTCTATTAAAATGATGGAAATGTTGTATATATGCAGGAATGACTTCTTAGCCTTCAGCAAAGATCTCAAGGAAGTATTAACTTGTTCTTATATACTAGGATCTTAGATATCCAATGTACAAAAATAGTCATACAATACATAAAAGTACACAAATAACCTATTAGAAGGTAGATAAACAAAATAGCAAAGAATATCAAGGATCTAGCGCTTTCCACATGCATGTAACAGCAAATTAAGGTGGGATTATGGTTGGCATTCCAGAAAGTTTGCTGAAATCTTTTAAAATTTTTATATTAAGTTTTGTAATAATATATAAAGTTCCATGCGTGCCCACAACAAAACAGCATGTACCTAACACTGGAAAGAGAAAATGTGCTGAAAAATTACCCTCTTGTAAGCAAATTAAAGAAATTAGTGAAATGAGTGTTACATTATCTCAGCGAGAAGGCTGTGCTGGGAGGGTTCTATCAGTGACTTGGCATTATAAGCCCTGCAGAAATACTGATGGCCCTTTAAGACGAAATTCTTTCAATTCAGAGAATTTAGATTTTCCCAGGCATTAACCTGAAACAGAGGTGTGGGGGGAAAACCAAAATTATCAGTTAGTGTGATTAGAGAGAGCTTCAAATGAACCAGGAGACTGAACTTTAGTATATCCCTATATACCATGATGTCATCTTTCTAAACAATTGTTAACCCATCATTTACTCAGGGCCTATAATGTTGCAGGCATTATAATAAGCACTTGATTTGGATGATTTCATTTAGTTTTTATAACAATCTAGAAGGTAAATTTTATTAATCTCCAAGTGTCCCCTTTCACTGATGACAAAATGAAGCCTTAGAGAAGTCAAGTAACTTACTCATAGTCACACAGTAGTGGACCTAGGATAGGAACCCAGGCCATTTGACTGCAGCATATTGTCTACCAATCACAACTTCTTATAGACTCTACCCTGCCTTCTCCCTCTTTTAAGCCCTGCCAAAGATACACAGATGCGTTTCTGACGTCAGTCCTCTGCCTACCAGAGAACACTGGGCCCTTAGTCCTTCCTCGTTTCCTTGAAATGACAAAGAATGGCCCTGTTTCTAGTCCCCTTAGCAACATTCTCTTTTCCTGTTGGCCTCCAGGAAAAGTAACACATTCCTGATACGTCTCCACAGGTGTCACCTATGACTGGGGCAATTCAGACTTGAATGCACCGTGCTCAAAACTCCATCACCACCAACGTCCCACGCCTGTGCCTGTCCCGCCAATCACTAAGTCCAATCTGACCTTCTGCACACGTGACTTTCGAGGTCAGGCCCTGCTTTTGTTCCCACCACCATCACACTAATCCAGCTCTTAGTGAGCCACATTGATTCAGCCCTAACAGAATTGTGTTCACATCCTTCTACTCAGAGCTCTTCAAGTTCCCCATGGCCAGCAGGATCAAATGCTTCTTTCTGATATTCAGGAGTCTCCTGAGGCCCAGCCCCAGGAAACTCCCCCGCCCCCACACCCCACAGCAAACTGGTTTTCCCCTTGCCCTTTCAACTCTTCATTGGGGTGAATGCACGGCACCCCTCTCTCTCCTCCTTTCAAACACGAGTAGCTTAAATATCAGTCATTCTATACAATTCCCTCTTCAATGAATGTAAGGTCCATATATTAAGGCCGTAGACCCTTCCAAAGCAAGGGCTTTGCTCTGGCCTGAGCCCCGTGACTCAGTACCACCCCTTATCCATGCCCGCCCATTCTCCCCACACACTTCCTAATCCGGGTTTCTCAGCGAGTGTTCCTTCGACCTCCACTCTAAACTTACCTGGTGATTCCTTGCTCAGAGGCAGATTCCCGGGCTCCTCCCAAGCCTATCACATCAGAATTATCTGGGGTAGGATCTTAGAAGCTGCATTTTCAAAAGCATCCCAGATGATTCTTCACCATGACAGATTTTGACACCACTAACAAATATACATCCTATTTTTTTAATAATGACTTTTCTCAAATGGCTCAGCAAATTCACATATACCATACAATAAGTCACTACTCTTTAGTGTTCTTAATATTAATAGTAGAGCCTGCCATGAGTACCCACTGTGTGCCAGGAGCCATACTTGGTACTTTTCACAGTTAATAAGCATCATTGGCAGCAACTAGCACCGTTCTAAGACTTTACATGTAATAATAGCTCACTTAGTCCTCACAATAGCCCCCATGAAGTGGATGCCATGATTTTGCAAATGAGGAAACAGACTCAGCAGGTTTAAGAGGCTTTCCCAAAGACACCTAGCTCATGAGTGGCAGAGCCTGGACTGGAACAACTAAAGTCCTTACTCTAGTTCCTCTTTTCAAAGGCTGAGGGACTTTAAGTGAAAGGAAGCTCATGGAAGTTTGTGAAATGGTGTGGCCTTGGGTAGATACTAATTCCAACATTGCTATGTTGACCCAGCATGGGACCTTGGGCAACCCATTTCAGAACATGTTTCTATTGGCTCATAATCTCTACCTTATTTGTTTCCAACAGACATGTGAGTTGACCTAGAAACACGGGTACATCCAAGATGGGTAAAGGTAGGGAAGAGTTGCTCAGACACTAAGTAGAAAGAAGGAGAGCAGGGAGAAAGAACTTTACTAGGAATCAGGAAGAAAAGAATTTTGATGATTGAGCAATACATTTAATGATAGAAATATATTCTCTTTGGTTGTGCCTAAGCAATACATTTATTTTCTTTGGAAAAGAACACTTTTCAAATTTACAAGTGATAATACTCTTTGGCTAGAATATTCCAGGGGCACTGCCTACCAATCTTGGTGCTTTTGAGGGGGGCATAATAGGAGGTGTATATTTGATTGTGTGATTATGCACACACCTATCTACAGTGTAAGACAACTGAAAACAAGATGCAAACATCTCGCCATGAACACACTCTATCTCTACATTCCAGCATTTAGCTACAGAGGGAAACTGTGGGGTGGAGGACCAGACAGGGTGTCAGTTCTATCTGGGTTAGAATACTGGCTTTGCCATTCATAGCTGTGGCTTCTGAGTGCCCTTATCTTCTATATCATTGCTCTGCTCTATATTTCTTCACAGCACTATCTCTACATGAAACTGTATGTTCATTTGGTTAATTTTTTATTGTCTGTCTTCTCCACTAGCCTGTTAAGTCTCAGCAGGGCAGAAACTCTGCTGTGCCTGGCACATAGTAGGTGCTCAATAAGTCTTCGTTGGGTGAATGAATGAGCCAAGGTCTCTTGCAGGATTCCTGTGCTTGTCGCATATGTAGAGTACTTGACATACCATATGCCCTCCAGCCTTCTCCCAGAATTACACCCAGTGTGCGCCCTTCATCTGAGTTGGGAGCTTCACGAAGGCATCAACTGTTTCTTTTTTGCAGACTGTCAGAGCCAAAAGGAATCCTAAAGACGATGCTAGTCCAAACCCTCCCCCCAACTTTACAGATACCAAATGGAACTTTCTCGCCCCAGTGAGGTTGCTTTCCCCACCCATAGCTGAGGAAAACCAGAAGCGAGAGCCCAGGTCTCCTGACTTCATCACCCCACGACAAAGCTAGACCAGCCACTGTGCCCAATCCACTGCTTGTCCCCCCTGCCAGTGTTCCAGACACATTTTGTTGAACAAATAAATCAGCTCTAGCTAGACACCAGCGACACTTGCCTATGCTCCCAGAAACTGTGCTAAGAGCTTTATAGACATTATTTCATCTAATCTTCATACCAATCCTAGGATGTGGGTATTTTTATCCCAACTTTTCAAATGAATAAACCTGAAAAAATAAAATAAATTAATAAATAACTAAACCTGAGCCTCTACAAAGTTAAATACCCTGCTTTGCATGCAGACGGGGTACCAGGGAGTGCTCCAAGCCCTCCTATTTATCCCGAGTCATGGAGAGTGACAATTCAGGGTTCACAATCTTCTAAGGGCTTCGTAAATAAATCTTTAAGCTCCCGTGGCTCCCTGACCCTATTGCTGCCCCTAACCTCCTCAACATGGTTGTGGGGACACTGATGCTAACAACACAGGCACTAAATGAGGACAGAGCCAGGATCTATTCTGGGGCCTGTCTGACCCCCATGCTGTCCCCCTTTCAACACCAAGTTATGCCATCTCCCAAGCACCACATGTCATTTTCAAAGGAAGTCTCTCTCTCTAGGGACTCAAAAAAAAAAAAGTCAATCCAAAGTTCTGCAGTTCCTCTGGTATACTAAAACATCGACCACTCTCTCCTCGCTAACCTTCCTGTTCTCTAGACGGTTTTCACTGAACCTCCAGACAACAGGTGGCTGCAGAGTCACGTTATCACTCAGAGGGGAGCGTGACATCTGAACCCTAATGTCCAGGAGTGTGGAAAAAAAAAAAGAATGTATTCTGCAATTGTGCACCTCCAGAGAAAAGCACAAACCCCAGAGACTGGGACACACCCCGGGCACTATCCCCAAGTCCCATTTAGGGCTCTCTCACATTCCAAGTCCAAGGCTAACTCTTGCTCATGTTCCTCTCTGTGTCATGTTCTCCTTCCCCAGGTCTAAGTAGATCTGAGACTTTCTTCATGCCTCATATTCTCCCAAAGGTGAAAAAAGGATACAATTTTGCCATTTTCCTACCTGGCTGAGAGCACTATATGAACATCATGGAAGAGCAGACCAGAAAGATCCCACCTCCCATTCCAGATGGTTCAGGACCAGCCCCTTCAATGTACAGAAAAGAAAGCAGGGGACAGGGAAGAAAGGGGTCCTGTCCAAAGACACACAGCCAGTTGGTGGCAGCTCTGGAAGCCAGATGGGCAACTCCTAGAGTGTTGCTCTTTCCCCTGAGAGCCACGTGGGACGGATGTCCTCCGTGGGAAACAGCTGAGGGCCTGTTCTCTCTGTTGATTTCCTGGACATTTCATCATCTTCAAATGGAGTCAGACTTTGTGGTGAGCTTACAGAAGGAGGAAACACCCATGTTCCGCGGACCTCTTTTAACCCCAGGGCCCAAATCCCCTCCCTGCGCAGCTGAGGGCCACCCTGGCTCACCAGGCCAAAGTCAGAGAGTTTCCTGCCCATGCGTTGGCTCTCCAGGACCACAGCCGACATGCTGGCTCTGGGTGAGTGAGATCTCTAGCTCTAGGCAGTCAGTCGCAGGCAGGTTTGTCTAAGGCACGTGGTGCTGAGGTTTTTAACCTGACGTTAGGGGGAGAGGACTGTTCCAAAGGTGTCTCCTGCAGAGGTGCCTCCCCCAGTGGGCGTTGTCCTGACGCAGGCAGCTCCAGGTCACCGCCTGGGGCGGGAGGGTGTGGCCGAGGCCTGACCTTTGGCTGCCAGCCCAGGATGGTGGAATTAGCCTTGCAAGTGCAGGGCCACCTGTGAGCAGGCGATTCAACAGATTTGGCCCTTCCGGGACGCTCAGAAGCATGACAAGCGTGTTTTCTGCTTTGGACTAAACCTGCGACCGCCTGATGATAACAATGATAAGAAATGATCCTTTCTACCCCGGCCTCCACCCATTGAAGCAGAGCCAGGATCCCTATTTTTTTTTTTTGGTCCTTTCTATTAACCACTAAGCAAACTACCTTTCTGGGCTTTGACTATATACAAGGTGACGCTGTGAACGCTGAGTACGGCTGCAAAAGGGCAAAGGGAAGAAAGAGAGAAACCTGGGCTGGAATCCAGCCATGTGTCCCGGAGCTATTTATACCTAACCGCTGGGGGGCACCCTAAGGAGGATGGATAGCAGAGCCACCTTGCCAGGGTGCTTTAAGAATATGAATGAGAAGGATGAGGTAATGCATTAAACATTGAATACAGTTCTTACCATAGAGTTAAATGCTCAGTAAATAGAAGATACTGTCTAAAAGCATATGACCACAGATAATGATTGAGGACCTCGACTGTGTGCCAGGAAGTATTGGAGGCACTGGGGATACAGCAATGAGTGAAACAGAGGACTCTGCTTCCCCCTCCATGCTAGCGTTCTGCGAGGGAGACAGAAAATAAATAGATAAGTTTAGGCAGAGCTAAGCCTTCTGAAGAAAATAAAATAAGGGGATGGGCTAGGAGTGAGCTGGTGGGTGTTGGAGCATAGACTCCTTCAAGTAGGCAGGAAGATGTCATTCGCACAGTTTTTTCAGATTAGGAAACTCAGATGAGGCATTCTTTGCCAGCAAGGGGGGGGCCGGGGGGGGGGCGTGGGAAGGGGGGACAAAATATCAAAGAATACCGCAGTGAAGTCAGAGGTTCAGAAAGGATGTGAAAACTCAGGGGCATCAAGGCCTTGGGTGGCTGCCGAATATTTACCCAGGAGAGGCTAAAGGACTCAGAGAAAACAAGCCAATAATACAGATTGCTAGAAATCCACCCCCTGCCCTCCCACAATTCTTTGATGGAATGACCAAACAGTCACCAATAAAGAAAAAAAAAATCTCTCATTTGTGATTCAAAACAAATGGATTCCACCACTGATTAATTAACTGTGGAGCTTTAGTCAAGTCTCAAGTCCATGCGTCAGTTTCTTTGCCTTTAAAATGGGGGTTTTAAAGGTTGTTAAGATTCCTTGAGCCTTTACTATGCCAGGCTTTCTACTGACTGCTAAGAATACAGACATAATTGAGTATAATTGCTAACCAAGGGCAGCTGGGTGTCTGATTAGCATTTCCTATGGTGAATTGGAAGTTCAGTGTTGTTGAACATGAAAGGCAAGACCTTGACTTCCACCCTCAGGAAACTGTATCCTTTATCTGATGGCAGTGTTTTTCTAGTGTGGTAGACATAAAATGAAGAAGTTTCCTCTGCCCCAGGATGACCTTGCAAACATCATTTCTTCCCTTGATGCTGCTGGTATGCTAAGGAGAGCAAGGAATGTGACAACACCAGTGATACAAAAGATATACAATGAACAAGAACAAGCAAAAACAGCAACTTATTTCCATGCACACTTTCTGTTAGACACTGAGCCAAGTTCTCCACATGGATGGTTTTACAACCCTACGAACTATGCACCATCCTCACTTTATAGACAAGGACACTGAGGCCCAGAAAGTTTAAATGAATGGTCCAAAGTCACACTACATTTCACCCAATTCCAAGGTCAACTGGGTCTTAAATATTCTTTCCTTTTTGAGCTAGTGATTTTTTTAGGTCAACAAAATAATAACACTTCTATTTTCTCCTCACACCAGCTAAAAATGGAATTCTTAATCCCATCTCACATAAAAATGCCCCAGATCTGGGTTGGGAAGAGAACACACTTAATTGTCTGGTACCTCAGAAAAAATTACTAATCACTTCATTTATGTGTGTGTGTGTGTGTGTGTGTGTGTGTNGTTTGTCTTGCGGAACACTTGCAATCAAGTTACTTGCAATCCAAGGTTTTACTGTATGTATATATGTATATGTGTGTGTGTGTGTGTGTGTGTGTATATATATATATATATATATATATATATATATATATATTATTCTGGCAAAAAAGGTAAAATGTATCCATGTACTAAGATAAAAACTTTCTTAAGATGAGATTGCTTGTGACATGAATTTTGTAGATGATTTTTAAGCTATCTTCTTATTGAATGTGGATGGAATGCACTGTATTGCTGTTACTAATGAGGACAGTTCTGGGTCCTAAGAAAATTGCACTTGACAATGCCCGTCAAGAAGAAGCATCCAAGAATTCATCCTGCAAACCATTGAGATGTTGTCAATGGCCACGAAGGGGTGGGCGCCATGTCACATGATGTGCAGTTGTGAACCTGGTAAACTTGGAGCTGACCTTCACTGATTCAGAAGCTGAAGATTTCCCAACCACTGGGGGCTATTGATTCCTTTTCATTTAACCTCATGTGCAGAGGGCTGAGTTAATCATAATCTATGAGTTCATGGCACATGGAACCTCCAAGGCCCCTCTCTCGCTTTATTTAATTTATTCATTCTCTTTTATCTTCTTTCCCCACTCCCATTCCCCTCCCCAACAGGCGATGTCCCTGATATGTTTACTATTTAGCCTTGGATTTTTAAAATGCGTGGAAATCCTGGTGCATGTATGAGTGATGCTGTTGTGTAAGTTTATTAGGATATATAGATGTACTATAGATTTGATAGTTTCTAACTTTTTTTTCAACCATATTTTCAGGATCTTGCCTTGCTGATATATGTACATCTAGTTTTTCCACTTTTTTAACTGGTGTAGAGTATTCCATAGTGTGTACCAACCACATTTGACTTCTCCATTCCCCAGTGATGGACACCTAGGCTGTCTCTAACTTTCCACCACCCCCAAACAGTGCTGAGATAAACACCCTCATCCTTGTCCCCTTATAGATCTGTGTGAGAATTTAACACACTACGAGAATAGTAACTAAATCTATGGGTTTCAAAAAAAGTGTGATAGTCCCTTATTTAACTAGTTCCATACATTTATGCAGATTTTCGAAAGGGGGAATGTTGGGAGGTCATTGCTCTGGCATTTCCACATGTCTTGGACCACTTTTTCAAGGCTTTTGTTTGGGAGGTAGTATCTTGCTCTGGGACAAAGGCAGATTTGTCTCCTGACCAGTATGATAGAGAACATCTTCATCCCTGAAGACAAGACATTCCATGATAATAAGGTCTTCCCCCATCCCCAGAGAAAATGTGCTTACATTCCAAGGTAAAGATAATGCCTCTCTTCTGAGAGGAGGAGGGTTTCCTAAGCTCAGTGCTCCTCAGCTGTGACACAGGTTCAATGTTGCTCAGCACCCACATGAATTTACTCTACATTGACACCCACAAAACTTGGGGGACAAGGGGGACCAATGTAAACACGAAACTCATGTTGCCCATTGTGCTCTGAGTAATACACTGTCTAAATCCATTTGAGCTTGCTTTTTCCTTACTGGCCAATTTCATGGAAGTGTGGCAAATCAGCCTAGCAGTTGCACTGATATTTAGGAACTGCTCGACCGACTTGACGAAGAAGAAATTGATGTGGCATATATGCCTAGTCGCCCAGTTTTCTTTCCTTCTCTCTCATGGAAATAGAAGCTCTGAATGTTAGCTAGCCAGACCTATGTCCTCCCAGAATAAAAACTACATTTCCCAGCCTTCCTCACAGCTATAATAGGTGTAGCTACAGGCTTAATATTTCACCAAAGAAACTCAAGGAGAAGTAGTCTGTGCAACATCTAAGGAGTGTCCCTAAAGGAAGCATGCCCTTCTCCTTCTCCTTCTTGCAGATCAGAATACAGAAATGCTGACTGGGCTGCAGCAGACATATTGGATTATGAGGTAAATTTAGAAATGGGAGGGCCGGCCAAGTGGCGCATTGGTTAAGAACTGGCTTGGGACACCAGAGGGCCCCGGTCCGGATCCCACATATGAGGGCCAGTGACACTGCCCTCTACAGCTAAGATGCTGAACAACAGCTCAACCTGAAGCTGGGCGGCCGTGAGTCGCCGGCAACGGTGTAGGCTGCAGCCCCTGTGGCAGTGGGTTGCCATGGGCTACCGTGTGTAGCCAGCAGCCAGCGTGAGCGGCC